ATTTATGAGTCAGCCTCAGGCTTGTCCTGCACTAGATGCAAAAGTACATATTATAACCCCCCCAGTCAAGCAACTCAAGTTTTGTTCAAGTTTTGTTCAATTACCAATATTCAAGATCTGATGCAATGATTCTTGCTTGGGCAAATAAAAGGTTAAAGTAAAATGTGACTCTGCACTGTACTCTATAAATAAACTTTTATTCTTTGACAGAATTACATTTTCCTTAAAAAAAGATACTACATAGCATTCTTACACTTTCTAATCACCTGTTCCTGATAGACAGCACAAGTGAGTGTGCATGTGCTTTAGCGTTGCACTTTCTCACGGCAGACATTTTGAAATAGTAGGAAAATCACAGGTGTAAGTCATACTATTGATGGCTCTCTTCCATGTAGTTGTACAGTGAACCAAGTGTCTGTTTTGCTTTTCTTCGCTGTAAAACGTGTTTTTCCTGATAAGATCTTGAAGAATTCTCAGTGGTATCAAGGTGTTCTTGTTGACACTAGCAAAAGAAACTGAAGTGTGATGATATTCTTGACCTTTGTTTTTAGAAGCTGAATTGTAGGAAGTAATTACTGTGGGTAACGTCTTTAGCAGTTCGCCAGTAGTAGTTAAAATAATATGTTATATGCAATATGCATTAAAATGTCTAAACATGACTAGACGTATGTTATGTATTTTGTTGAGTAGTGTACTTACATTATCCAAAATTTTTCCAACCCAGAGAAATACATAATTTTATTCAGGTAATTTGTTACTTGTCTCTATAATTACTATAACTTCCTGGTAACATGGCAGAGGGTAAGAGTAAGTCAGCAAACATGACTAAATGCAACGTGAAAATATTTTTTAATTTACCTCTTCTGTGAACATGGTTTCTGCCCGAGTCACATCAGATAGATTGTCATTGGCAATGGTGATTGTTTAACAATGAAGACAACTTGCATGATCTGGATGCTACTTCACAACTTCATCAAAAAGATCTTTCTTTTTTGTTGTTGTATTGATGTGAGAGAGACTCCTAGTGGCCAAAATGACATATTATACATTTAACTAACAACAAATCAAATTAATCTCTCAGTTTTTATGAGAGGGAAAATTTCATAAAAGCGACCGCAGTTTCTTTTTTCCTATATTTTATAGTTATTTTACAGTGTTCGCCAAGTGTAAATACCAACAACAAACTCTGTTTAGTTATTTTTGGTTTGCATTTCTAACTGAGCCCAGACCTCCATCCATCACTGTCGTCTGATCCTACTTACACCTTAAATAAGGTCGAGACGGCAGTGACTGAACAATCAGCTTTCTTTGACAAGAACATTTAAGTTTGGTGTCTAACCAAGGCTGTGGCCAGAATTATTCTGGATGAAAATGAATCAGGAACAGATCAAGTTACAGTCATCAAATATCACATGCATGCAAATGTACACATCTTTTGCTACACATGACCTACACACAGTTAAGTCACTATGTCGTTGTTAGTTAGTGTCATTTTTATACAGACTTTTGACCTGTGGAAATACTAATAGAAATATACTAGTAATGTGTTGGAAGCAAATCCTTTTCTGTGGGCCATCAAATAAATTCTGTTTTCTAGCAAACCCTGCAACTTCATCATCAGCTCATCCCTGACACTGCAGTTGATAGATCACATAACTTTAATACAACATGTGTCCGATAGCAGCATCTGACTTATTTGTGCTGCATACATTGCATCACCCACGTCACCTGAATGATGTTCTGTATTGTTCTGCAAACCTTCTCAATTTAGAATAAAGGTATTAAAAATGGCTGGAAACAGGCAACCTGATACTGCATAATGTTTAGAGATGCTGCTGTTGGAGTGTTATTTATTTAACTCCGAGCAGAACGGAGGGATGCCGAGCATCTCAACTTTCTTTTCTCATAAATAAGAGCAGCTGCTGCTGTGCTGTGGATGTGCGTGTTTGTGTGTGTGTGTGTGTATGCGGCGCAGCTCCAGGTATCTGGTCTAAACTAAAGAATGGTGGTCTTTTGGTTTGACACTTTAACGTTGTACACAAAGTACAACCCTTGCTCTATGTCTGTCACAAACACACTCATAAACATCAGCAGGAATACTGATCTCATATTCTCCACCAGACTGGAAACACTGTCAGCCTCAAGACAAGCTTTTTTAAGTGATGCTGTGGGTTTGTGTGTGTGGATGTTCCTGCATGCGCATGTGTGAATTTCAGCATAAGTGCATAGTTTTGAGTGTGCACAACATTTTGTGTGTTTGTGTTTGTCAGTGTGTGTGAGTGAATACAGTCTGTCAGTCTGCTTTACTGAGTACAAACTGGCATCATTAGCGAGCTTGTGACTGGCTGCCACGGCACAGTAGTTACAACACTGACAGCAAGGAAATGTGGAGCTTGAAAAATGTTGTATTATTTCCAGTATATTTGTACATTTGACAAGTTTGTATCTCCACAAACTTCGATACAGCTTAACTGGCAGAAATGATAGTGGGAGTGAGACATGGTAGATGAATGAAAGAAGCATCTGGCAACACACACACACACACACACACACACACACACACACAAGCTATCAGTGATAAGAGAGCGTAATGTAGCAACATTGCAATGATTTTCTTTCAATTATCAAATACAAACAACACCAAAAAGAAGAATAAAGTTTTCGGTACATCACAGAAAGAACTTTCTCGTATTCATATTCATATTCAGAAACGTATAAGTTACAGTATATACACACATACTTTTTCAAATTTGAACTACTTTTATATAACTTATATAACTGTACTTAAGAATAACCACAGTTTGAATCAGGGCTTCAGGCTTATTTAAAGCGTATTATCCTTATAAAGCATAATGGATTTATCTCAGATGGAGACAAATGGGTAACTCAGCCATTTTGTCAGGTTGCCCAAAAGAAATAGTTTGAATAGAAAATGTAAATGGTTTGAATTACTGAATAACTTTAAGTGATCTCACATGAATAAAAGGATTATGTTGCTAAACTATGAGAGGATTATATCACACTAGAACAAACTGAACTTGGTGTTTTCACTTGATTGCCATTGAAAAGGCTAGATTAGAGTTACAGAAAGGACAATGGGTTATTTGAGGCTATTTTTTGTCATGGTTTGTTAAGATAAATACAAAAGCATTACTCACACTAGGAAACTTGCATAACCGTGAACTTACTGTGGAGCTGTAGTCAGAGCTGAATTTTAATTTCTGTTTTCGTATCCATTCCTACACTATGTCAATGTCGGACTACTGTTTGTTTCCATCACACAATCCTTTGAGGCTTTTCTGGTATTTGCAGTGACAGACTTATTTAGGAATTGAATATGCCTGAGACCAGGACACACAGTTATTTGAGTCCTTATGATACAAGGGTTTGCTAAGTGAATGTATGTTGGTTAGCTAACCTATGTTTGATATGTCTTTGCTGCAAATACTACCAGGAATCGCTCAAAGGAACAACTGGATAGCTGACAAACCCAATAACACTTACCGTAGATTGCATAGAGCAACCAAAATTAGCATGTTAATATAGGGCTGTGCTAATATTTTGTACATGTTGGCTATATCTTAAAGGAATAGCTCAACATTTTTGGAAAATATGCTTATTCACTTCCTTGCCAAGGGTTAGGTGAGAAGATCAATGCCAATTATATGTTTTTGTGTTAATTAGTTACTGTCAGCAGTCCATTAGCTTAGATTACCTTAGCATAAAGACTGGAAATAGCAGGAAAGCAATAAGCTAGTCTGGCTTTGTCCTAAGCTAACAAAATCCACCTACCAGCACATCTAAAGCGCAGTAATTAACATCTTGTTATATTTCATTATTTTTTGTTACCTTTGGACAGAGCCAGGTAGCTATTTCCCCTTATTTTGTGGTCTTGAAGCTAAGCTAAGCTAACCGTCTTCTTAAATTTCATTGACAGACATGATCTTCTCATCTGACTTGTGGCAATTAAACAAATATTTTCAAAAATGTCAGTGTTTTCCTCTAGATCACCATGCGGTCCCTGTGTTTGGCTGCAGATTTTTGCTGATACCAGCCCACAGGTTTAGATACTCAGTTTTTCTTTCTTCCTGTCGTTCCTCCGCTCTGATCAGCTCGACTGTTGTAGGCTCAAAGACCTTGACGGTGTCCTGTCGGTGTCTTTTTTTCTCCATCAGCCTTGCTGTCTAGTTACTATCAACTCGACTGTCCTGCTGCCAACCTTCTGTTCATTTTTAATCTGTTCTCCCACTGAGCCCTGTACTTTGTTGTCTTTCTCCTTGAATCGGTCTCTTTGCTCTCCACTTTTGTTCTCTCTTCTATCCTTAATATCTTCTCTGCCTCGAAATAAACCCATACAGCTTCCAACCTTTACCTTTCTTCTTAACTTTTTTCTCTGCAAAGTGCTCCTCTTCATCTCCAGCTCAGCATGTTCTTCAGGTCGGATACAGCCTTTTTCATTTAGGGAAATATCTCACCTGTCTGTTTTTTTTTTTTTTTTGTGCCAAAATTAGGAACAGCGTCCCACCTCTGTTGCTTTGCTGCCCTTTTCTCAACAGCAGATCGACTCCAGATGGCCTGTTTCAGTGCTTAGTATTCACCATTGTCCACATGGAATATTCGCATTTAACCATCATGGAGGTTTTAACTGCATGCGCATTTACCCCATACTTAAGAGGAAATTGGAGCATTTGGCATGTAGGAATAGTGGTATCTGTTATTCCATCTGTCCAACACTATATGTGAAGTCATGTAAAGTTAAATAAGCTTTCTTCTCCAATGGCTGTTGTCTTTGCAACATTTAAGGGTTATAAGCTGTGTGACTGCAATTGGCAGATATGAAAATGGACCAAAATTAATTGGAAAATGGATGTTATGGAAAAAGAAAAATATGTAATGATAGTTCCTTCAAGACTGTCAAAACCCAGAGTATGTGTTGAGTTGTGGTCTCTTATTGCAAAAATGATAAAAATTTCTCTCTGCCTCTCTTTGTCTGTCTCCAGGTCTTCTCTGACGTGCCCTCATTGCCTTAAGCAGAGCAACACCTTCGACCCGTTTTTATGTATCTCCCTGCCTATCCCCCTACGACAAACCAGGTGATGTATAACACATGACAAGTGGTAGAATTTAATAATAATTAGTAATCAGTTTTTACAGCAGGACACATTTCTTGTTGTCTGTACTACCTGAACTATATTTCTTCTAACTGTTAATGTCAGGAGTTTTAAGTATTGTTTTATGTTTTCACTTTGGTCTCATTTTGGTGGTATGTTGAGAATTCTACCACACGATGCAAGTCCTTTTGTATTGTTTTAAATATACACAGTAAGCTTATATTTCAGCATTTCATTAATTTCTATGAAAACAAAGATTATTGAAACAAAGAAATAGCTAATACAACAAAAATTATAAAAGTACACTAAAATTGTATAAAAAGTTCAGAAGATATCATATTTATCTCTGATTAATACTGACAGGAAATAATCTGCTCAAAATTCTTCCAAATCACCAACTTCCTGCAGTTATTGTAGTCACTATTTGGGTCCATTTTACAGTTTATCAGTTGTTCTGTGATGTTATCGTTATTGCATTGAATATAATATGAAATATCCATAAAATACGTCACATAGTCAGGGGTTGTCAGTTTCAAAATGGGTCCCTTAAAGAAAAAGGTTGGGAACCAGTGATCTTGACTACCTAAGTTAAAAAAAAGACATTGATCACAACAGCTGCACTGTAAAAGCACACATTTCAAAAGGAATTTTGACAAATATGACTGCACAAACACATGCGTATGCACACATTTGTACATACATATGGTCTACACATCAACAGGTTTTGGCCATGTCATACCACAGTGATAAATGGTGGCCATCAAAAGTCCTTGAGCAAACACTTTCTGTGTTGTTTCCATTTTTAACCGTACCAGAAGCTGTATGTCAGCAAGGTCTTGCTGTATGACTTTGACATATGAAGAAAGAGACAAAGAGAGAGAACAAAAGAGGGAAAAGGACACAAAGAACTTTTTCTGGATTTTGACAATGCAGAGAGAAAGAGAGAGAGAGATTATTAGGTTGCGCTCATAGAGGGTGCGTTGCAGGTTTCGAGATATAAAAGATTTCCCTTTTAAATAGAAAAAGGTTGGGAACCAGTGATCTTGACTACCTAAGTTAAAAAAAGACATTGCACAAACAGCTGCAACTGTAAAAGCACACATTTCAAAAGGAATTTTGACAAATATGACTGCACAAACACATGCGTATGCACACATTTGTACATACATATGGTCTACACATCAACAGGTTTTGGCCATGTCATACCACAGTGATAAATGGTGGCCATCAAAAAGTCTTGAGCAAACACTTCTGTTTGTTTCCATTTTTACCGTACCAGAAGCTGTATGTCAGCAAGGTCTTGCTTATGACTTTACATATGAAGAAAGAGACAAAGAAGAAACAAAAGAGGGAAAAGGACACAAAGAACTTTTTTGGATTTTTGACAATGCAGAGAGAAAGAGAAGAGAGAGAGAGAGAGAGAGAGAGAGGAGAGAGAGACCCACAACAGATTCACGACTTATGTGGCTCTAGTGTAACTCTAGGACATCAGCAATTAATAATTGGTTCCACTAAAAGGCCTAC